CCCCAAAACCCCAAAACCCCAAAACCCCAAAACCCCAAAACCCCTTTTCAATTCTAGATCTTGAATTAAAAACAATAAATATCTACCAATGGAAACTAATAAGCCATTAGTCTGAGTAATAGGAGCTGGGCCAACTGGATTAGTCTGATTAAAATATCTCAGAGAAATTGCAGATCTGAAATGTTATGAACTCAAGTCTGAAATTGGTGGGCTCTGGGTGTACAAAGACACTACTGATGATGACCATAAAGAAGATGACAAATTCTATGAGTTATATGGAACAGTTCATGAGTCTATATACAAAGATCTGACTACTATTATTCCCATTCATTTCTTTGCTTTTAAAGATTTCCCTCCAAAGAAAAAGGAGAGGACTCATTTCACTCATGAAGAGGTTTTAGAATATTTACAAGACTATTCTGCCAATTTTGACTTAGAAAGATTCATAGAGTTTGAAACCCAAGTGATCGAAGTTACTAAAACAACAGATGGACCTAAAGACTGGACAGTCAAGATCAAGAATAATGGAGAAACTAAAGAAGAGCATTTTGATTATGTCATTGTGTGCAATGGTCATAACTCAGTTCCATATTTTCCGACAGAAGGAGTAGAAGGACTAGATCAATTCAAAGGAAAAATTCTTCATGCTCATAACTTTAGAAAGCCAGATACAGAAGATTTTGTTGATAAAAATGTTCTACTCGTTGGTTTGAAATATAGCGGAATGGATATCCTTTACCAGCTTCTTGAGTCAAACAATATCCGGGCTATTATCAATGGTGAAGAGCCTAACTACACCATTGATGAATCAGGAATTGGAGCTAAGAAAATTATTCTATCTGCATCAACAGCTCATGATCTTTCTCAATCTGACGATTTCAAGAAGTATGCCGACAAAGGTATCATTGTTCCAAAGTCAGGATCTAAGCTAGAGTTCACAGAAGATGGAGTAATCTTTGAAGATGGATCAGAAGAAAAAATTGATACTATCTTATTCTCCACTGGATACAAATTCAGCTTTCCATTCATCAAAGATCCAAGTCTTGTTGAATATGAATGAGATGGAAGATATTTTGGACCATTATATCAGAGAATTTTCTCAATCAATCATCCATCTCTGATATTCGTGGGTCAGCCTGACAGCAATGCATTCAATCAAATCTTGATGGAGAGACAAGTCATGTTCATGAAATCTTTTATTGAAGGCAATCTCACTCTTCCAAGCAAGGAAGAAATGATGGAACATCTTGAAAAAGACAAAAAGCATGTAGAAGAAAATTATGGGTTGAGAAATTTCTATAAAGCTCCATTCCAATATACCTCAGGATATATAAAAGAGTTGAAAGAAATCTTGAAGTCCCAAGATATTGAACCTAATGAGGATAACAAGGAACATCTGAAGACTTTGTTTAAGATGCTGCCTATTTTCAAAGAGACTTTGACCTCTCATAATTTCATTACCTTCCAAAGATATGACTACAAGTCTCTGATTCCCGAAGACCACAAGTTTGATAGTTCAGAGTATTTCTAAATTGAAAGTCATGTTCAATATTTTGGTATACAAAGGGGTTTTGGGGTTTTGGGGTTTTGGGG